AAAATAAATCACCTGTATCCATGATCCTTGTAGTCTTTGGTGGAGTATACCATCGAGCTGGCCTTCACACTAATCTGCTGGAACAAGTTCCAAACTTCCTGATAAATGTATTGCTGTGGGAGACAAACAGATTGGAGATATTAGCACCAGCAGGCCGATCAAAACAATCCCATGACAGAAGACAGAAGTGCTGCGTACGTTTCCTGTGATGACCATACAGCCCAGCTGATCTATGATGAGGACGTCGAGCCGGGACGGCGGCTGGCAGAACTTCTGCTGCAGGATCTGTAGGATGGGCTCCATCACGCGGGGAGTGTCTCTCAGAGCCACGGCGATGTGCCCTAATGCTTGTATGGTGTGATCGGGGATGAGGTGGGCGTCCCTGATGGAGAGGGGCACAAATAACATTTTAGAGATTCCTTTAAAAATAACAGAATGTCTAATGTTCTTAAATTCCACTTGAATAAGACTGAAACACTTTGAACTATTTAATGACCAATAAAAATGTATTTTGTATTAAGATGGAATTTATCGTCAGATTTCAATAACATACTTGTCATTTTCCTGCGAGATGTAAAGACGGTTGGAAAGACTGGCGAGGAAAGCCTCAACGATGACTGAGTCCATGCACAACCCTGCTTTTAAACACCTGGAACAACAACAAAAAAAATACTTATTAGTGACTAGTAACTTAGAACTGTGGTTAACTATATGAAAAACTGCAAAGTCATACTATAGACTGTCAAAGTACAAGTTATAGTCTGAATCCAAGTTCACATACTTCTACTAAGTCCTTGAAATATTTACTGCCATGATGAGAGTTTTGGGTCGGTAAGATTTCTTAATGTTTCTGAAATAAGACTTTTTTGCTCACCAAGGCTGCATTTATTTGATCAAAAATACAGTAAAAACAGCAATATTGTGAACTATTATTACAATTTAAAATAACTATTTTCTATGTGAATAGAATTTAAAATGAAATTTATATCTGTGATGCAAAGCTGAATTTCCAGTATCATTCTTCAGTGTCACATGATCCTTCAGAAATTCTAATATGCTGGTTTGCTGCTCAAGACATACTTTTAACATACTATGAATTGGAACGCACAACTTCTAAGCTCACATATTGTACAGGACAGATATTATGAAAATTATGCATGGAAACATTCACCTGAAAACTTTTCCACCCGCATAAATGAGGTTTACCTGCATATATTGTCGATGGAAATGTCTCGGAGCTGCTCATACATGGACGGCTGGCTCTTCTTACTGGAGTGAGAACTGAAGGTGGACTGGGAATGTTCATTGGTCACATTGATCTTGATCTCTCCTGTTCCTGCTTAGAGGGAAATGGAGTTGAACTACTCGCCCTGATTCAAATGTTTTTACTTCTTAAAGTAAAAGTTCACCCAAAAATGAAAAATTGCAGAAAATGTACTCATTCTCAAGCCATCCAAGATGTAGATGAGTTTGTTTCTTCATCAGATTTGGAGAAATGTAGCATTGCGTCACTTGCTCACCAATGGATGCTCTGCAGTGAATGGGTGCCGTCAGAATGAGAGTCCAAACAGCTGATAAAAACATCACAATAATCCACAAGTAATCCACACCACTCCAGTCCATCAATTCATGTCTTGTGAAGCCAAAAGCTGCGTGTTTGTAAGAAACAAATCCATCAAGATGTTTTTAACTACAAACTATTGCTTCCGGCTAAAATACGTAAATACATAATCCATAATATTGCTTTCTCGATTGAAAAAATCAGTCATATTTTGTTGGATTTTGTTGTAAGAGAACAACAGAGAATGGACTTTTTCACTGGAGGAAGCGTTATTATGGATTATGGGGTCATATTTTAGCTGGAAGTAACAGTTTAACGTTAAAAAGCCGTAATGATAGATTTGTTTCTTACAAACACACAGCTTTTGGCTTCACCAGACATGAACTGATGGACTGGAGTGGTGTGGATTACTTGTGGATTATTGTGATGTTTTTATCAGCTGTTTGGACTCTCATTCTGACGGCACCCATTCACTGCAGAAGATCCACTGGTGAGCAAGTGATGCAATGCTACATTTCTCCAAATCTGATGAAGAAACAAACTCATCTACATCTTGGAAGGCCTAAGCATGAGTAAATATTCAGAAATATACATTTTTGGGTGAATTATTCTGTTTTGATATACGGTGATACAAGCAGCATAGATCTAGATATCAAAGCTATCAAGGGGAGGTTCTCACCTGTGTTGTATTGACTGTGGTACTTGTAGAGCTTCACTAGTACAGGTGAAGGGACCACTAGGAAATCTCTTAGAGACATGGTGACTGAATGAGCCACCACAGGGAAACGCTCACACAGCCGTCCAAGACCCTGTTTCGTGACACATCGTAAATGTTGTATTTTACCTCTAAATGCTCAAAATGAACCATTTCAGTGCACTGTGAGAGGGTCAGAACTCAGGATGCACCTGTAAGCAGCAGATGAGCAGAGGCATGTGAGCAATGATGACCTTACTGGACGTCTTGGACTGCAGCTTCTCGGACAGTTTTGTGCAGAGGTTTTCCGCACCTGGCCGAAACAACCCGATAAATGAACGGTTAGAGAAGTCACATGACACATACATGAGACACGTGATACCAGAATCCTCTCTCAGTCTCACCCTGCTCCTCCGTGACGGCCCACACCATGAGGTCCACGCAGGCAGCGTTGGCCTGGCAGCGCAGTTTGAGCGGGTTCAGCTCGCTGTGCAGATACTCCACGTCATGCAGGATCCTCTGCAGCTCAGACTGACTGCTGCTGAACTGCTCCAGAACAAAATCATGGACCTCCTTCACGAACGACACCTGCAGGTCTGCGCACATAAACAATCACATAAACGCTAACAGCAGCAAGAAATACTTAAACCTTTACAGTTATTGACAGCCGTAAGTCTCAGGTATGTTGAATATTTGTGTGAAATTCAGTGGCTTAACCTGATTTGGCTAATACATAGAAAAATATATTTTCTTTTTTATTTTTATCTATTTTCCCTAAACGTTCTATTCCAGTTATCTAAACATTTAAATCCCTTTTCTACTATACATTTAAATATTTTGATTTTATTTGTAATAAACTGTAATTTGATTTGATTTATTTGCTGTTATTATATTAAATATAATTGATCAATCATAAGGATAATAGCACAAAAATATTATATAATTTTTTTTAATACATTTTAGTTTTAGTTTATATGACAATTTATTGTTGTATTTATTTCTCATTAATTGTTATAATAATACATATAATAGATTAAGAATGATAAAATTATTATTATTATTAATATTAATAATAATAATAATAATAATAATAATAATAAGTAAACAACAAGTATTTGGTTTTATTTGTAATAAATTATATAATTTTATTTAAAATTGTGCTTTATTATAAACATAGTAGATTAATAATAACAATAATAGCAAAAAATTATTTGATTTTTAATTTATTAATAAATTGTAATTTTATTTATTTGTGTAATATATATATATATATATATAATAACCATAACAGATATATTTATAT